TGGAATACACGTTATTCAATTTAAAATTTTACAACTATGTATATTTACTATTTACAGTTACATTTTAGCGTATTAACGCCGACAATTGAATACAAACTTCTTCCATGTATGGATAGGCATTGATAGTTAGGTATGCTCTCTTATTATAATATTAGCATTGCCCGCGGCTCCGCCCGCGTTCAGGTGAAAAAAAACCAAATTCTTAGGTTTACAGATTAGTATACACTTACATTACAGTTTTTATATTTTTTCTCAGAAATGAGATATTTTTCCGCTGTAAAAAGTATCCTATATGTTGACTCGGATAATCATTTTCTGTGATGCGGTAACAGACAGGCAGACAAAAATTCTATAATATAAACTATAGATTCGGCCTCTGTATCGATAATAATATCTATTTCAATAAGATTTTCCAAAAAATATTTAATGTACAGATTTGACTCAGTTAGAATTTTATTATATGTATAGATTATTTCATTGTACGTACACACTCAATATGTTAGTCTGCAAAAAATAATTTTTATTATTATTATAGTTTCTAAAGAAGTATTTTAATTTTTAATCGTTATAAGTAGATACAGATTTAATGACGAAACTTCGTATAACTGCTGTTTAGATTTCTTTCTTGTGACTTTGTATTAAGATTATTAACAATGAAAATACAGTTAATCAATAAGTATAACAACACTAATGAGGTTGCAGGCGGGAATATTTTACTTAATCAGAACACACAAGACAGTAAACATTAATTAAAATGAAATGTTTATTTTTCTTAGTAATATTTCTTTTTTAAAATGCAATTCTAAAGATGTCGAATTTTACGAGGTAAGATTGTGGAGACAGTATTTGTGTTTTGTTATCGGTTGCATCGAAAAAAATAGTATTTTATTTTAAGAACAAATGACTGATTACCCATTATTAATGAGAAATCTTAAAATCGTGTATCTTATTGGAGTGCTAAAATCATGCTTTAGATATATACGTATAAAGGCTTTTCCAAATTTTATATATATAGACGAATGAAGGCTGGTAATATGCAATACGGTTTCTTAAGATAATAAAACATTCCATATAAAGAGTGCATATTGATTGATATACATAATTTATTTAATATATTTTATAAGCTTTAGTAGTAACATTGAACTGTACAAATATAAATGTACAATATTTATAATATTCTCGAGAAGTTTTCATCTCGTCCCAGTTTCACTAGAAGCCCTATGCCACGCGGCGACCTTGTCACTGTATCTGTTACGTACACGTAATAACACGTATCCAAGCGATTATTTACTTGCCGTATACATACATAATATGACTAAGCCTTGGTGTACTAGTTTATTATAAATTATAAACTGAAAATGTAAATAAATATAAATAGTTTATAAAAATATATTTACAAGATGCTTCCTTCATAATAACCAATCTTCTCGACAGTTGAATAAAGTTTGATATTTCTCATCAATCGATCAATTTTCTTGTTTATGGCTTCAAAGCGTACCATTTGAGCACAGATTTCTTCGCCAATGTCACGTAGAATGAAGAAGACACGAAGGAGATTGGTCGGTTGGTATTTCTTTCGTTGGTATTTTACATATGTTCGTAAATAAATATTTTCATTTAACGTTATTTTGACGCGTAAATACTTTTACAATAGCATTCAGCAATGTTGCTATAATTTTTTTTGACCTTTTGCGATTTGGACTTTTTATATTTTTAGGAAAACACTAAGTTGTTAAGGACTTGTTGCTGTAAAGACTAAAGACATGTTATGATCATGTCTTAATAGGGAATCTAATGTTTTAAACAGTTTACACAAATTTTTTTTTACAGTAGAATATTATTATATTCTACTGTAAAAAAAAATTTAACGTATTACTCGTGCAGTCTATGTATACAAAATGGACTTTTAATGCGACGTTACGTTTGTTACGTAAGAACTTTAGATCTAACTTGTGGACAGTTTTTTATATTAACAAACGCCATATTAAAGTATCATGTACGAGTATGTTCTAAATATTTTTACTTTGACTTTGTACTTGCAAATTATAAAATATGATATTTTTTTTACTGTATTTCCTTATTTTTTATTATAGTAGCTTTGTACGTTATTCTTCAACTTTGGATAAATGGCGTTAAATTGGAAAAATTGGCGTTAAAAAAAGTTGGTAAATAGGCGTTTTGCTGAACTACAACAAAGATATATAAATAAAACTGGAATTTAAATATGAAGTGTCGTTATTAACGATATTTTATAATCTATACTAATATTATAAAGAGGTAAAGTTTGTAAGATTTGTGAGTTTGTGACGTTGTAGGGGGTAATCTCTGTATCTACTGAACCGATTTAGATGAAGGACATAGGATACCTTTTATCCTGGAAATCAGGGGGTGAAAATGGGGATGAGTGTTTGTATGGGGACTCAAACCAGGGACGAACCCGAGCGAAGCGAGGGCTAGTCGCTAGTATATGTATAAAAAAATTACATTATGACAGGCGAATTCCGTGGTGCAGATGTTGGTAGTTTCGAAAATAGAAATTTATTCAGAGGTGTCGGTAAGGTAACTGTAAACAATCCTTTATTCGAGTGCAGTCAAGCCCACGCGGTTGGACGTTGCCAAACCCTTGACTAGCCAACGTTTATAAACAGAACGAATGCAATCGCTTACAATAAAGTACGATAATTGACTTAGTTGTTATACCTTTATATTCGATTTAGAGGTACACTGAATCCATACTAATATTATAAATGTAAAAGTGTGTTTGTTTGTTTGTTTGTTTGTTTGTTTGTTTGTTTGTCCTTCTTTCACGTCAAAATAGAGTGACGGATTGGAGTGGTTTTTTGTGTGGAGATACTTTTTACCGCGGGAGATTATCTCATTCTCAGAGAAAATACGTTATAATACAACCCAAATAATTATTTATTGACAGAATTACTTAAATATCTTATCTATAATATAATCTTTCAAAAAATATAAAATTAAAAATATAATTCTTTTTTACAAATCTATTTATTACACATAAAATTATTATTAATAAGAAAATTATTAATAAAGACATTTTTTACGCTCCGAAAACAAAGTGCATCATTGACATGCATAAAAATAACTTTATCCACACTATCTTTATTGTATGCCACAAATTCGGAGACAAGGTCGTCATATGGCAGTCTCGTATGAAACTGGGACGGAATATGTCATTGCCATATAAGAATACGTGAATTATTGAAGAAGACATTCTTCGGATTATATTAAATCTTATGAGCTTGTGAATTTTGATATCCTATTGTTTGTATATGTAAGACTAGTTGCCATATCTTTGCATTATCAACATCATGCTCATACATGCATCTATAATAAGAATGAAATTGAAGTGTCTGTTTGTAATGTCAAAATAACAGCTTTTTAATAATATGGTACTTATAAGAAAAAAAAAATTGTCTGTTTGTTCTGGCGAATCTCCAAAACGGCTGGACTGATTTTGACGGGACTTTAACTGGCAGATAGCTGATGTTATAAGGAGTAACTTAGGCTACTTTTATTTTAGGAAAAGAACTAGGGCCCCGTTCAAAAAAATTAAAACGTATATTTGACATTTTAAATAAAACCACCTTTTTGGATTTTTTAAGCTCTCCCGTGACCATGATTGCTGTTACCGAAATCTTTTGAAATATTCGCGTTAATCTAAGAAAGTATGATTAAAAGTATTATAAAATATCCTGAGGCGCTATGATAACTAAAGACTTCTTTATATAATTTAGGTATACATACATTTTGTATATATCTATTCACTTTTTATTTAGAATACACATTCATTAGAACCATCATTAACTTGTCATTATTGTGTAATACGCTCTTCATTCTATACACATCTTTATGTTTACACGACAATATTTACACTTAAGTATACTTATTACTTGATAGGCAGTGGTAGCCCAGTGGTAACGTGCTCGCTTGGGAAACCGAAACAGATTTTTTGTCTATCTGTCCCCGTCTGTCTGGGAACGTATTACGAGAAAACCACTGGACAAATTTTGCTGAAATTTGGTATGATGATAGCTGGTTATCCGGGTCAACTTGTAGGATACTTTTTATTGCAGAAAAATATCTCATCTCTGAGAAACCTTATTATACTAAACGTTAAAACCTAAGTAAACCCGAGCGAAGCGAGGGTGAGTCGCTAGCAAATAAATAAAATACAAAAATGACTAATTCATTTTAAGGTAGGTGTCACGTCACAAGAAATGCAAGTATGTACCTATCTTTTATAGCAATTAATGCAGTTAACAACGCATTCACTGATAAGGTGGAACATATACTTTGTTTATGTCCTACACAATTGTTTTCCATCTACGTATATGTAGGTATATTTTATTTATGTGTTTATTTTATTGTGACATTGAAAACGATGGCTTCATCCGCCTTAAGGTCAATCGTGAAACTCATTAAACGGTACCTGTCTCATTATTGGCCGGCTTAATAATTCCATCGCTGGTTGTTTTGATCTGTCCTTCATTTGAAGTTTACTTGGATTAAAAAGTATTATTATCTAATGAGTCTTTAATTTAATTTTCGAGATTAATTTGAGTTTCGTTCCTAGCTTGAATCATGTTTGAATTCTAAAACGATGTGCAGTATCCATGGTTAAATAAATTTAGAATGCTTAATAATACTGATTAAAAATTACTTAAATATCACGTTTTCTTAATTGAAAAAATATATATTTTGCACTTTTATAATGTCACGTGTTCGTTATTCGATGTTTAAAATTGGGCGGGGTTTTATAAAAACAATAAGCGCATTAACATACCTAACGCCATCTTGTGACGAAAAGATAGAAACTAAAAGGTCTTTTCTTATTGACAACATAGTCCTGCTACTGTATAATAGGTGGCGCTCATTGCATCTTATGTTTTATAAAGTTTATTCTTTTAATAACTATTTTATTTATAAAAAAAAACAATATGATTTCATATTAATTTCATGTTTTTTTTTTGTTTTAGGTGTTGGTGGAATATGACGGTATTGATTGGCAACGTCGTGAATGGGTGCCAGTGTATTCGCGTAGAACGTTTCGTGTGTTTTTAGTTGAAAGGACTTTAGTCTGGGCTTCCAGAAAATTAGAAAAAGAAGAAGTCAAATGGCCCGCTTTGGTAAGTAATATTTATTCATTTTTTTATAATAAAACAACATGCACTTTTGATATATAAATAAATAAGTTTTCATTTCATGCACTAGATGGCTCTAGTGTGATCGTTATGTATCAGTGTCATTTTTTTTTCATTCTTTAAAATCGTGTATTTTTCTACAACTTCTTAAGGAAGCATCTTTAATCTTTTGCATTATCTTAAAGAGCAATTACTACAATGAAAGGAAGAATATTTCAATTTAGATCATTAAGTTAATAAATGTTATTGAGGTAGTTTCTGATTTCTAAATAAAATATCGTAATTGGCATTTAATTTAAATGATGTTGTAGATGCAGCTGTGAGGTATCATTATTAAGTATAAACAAACTATAAACAAAGGTCACGTAGATAAGATCAGTGTTAAGCAATGGAGCTAAATAATAGCCTAACGTAAATTACCTTTTATTACACTTATTATTATTACTATCTAGATATCATTGTAACTTATCTGAAAAATTCAAAGTTATTTTACAAATAGTAGGACAATAATCGGTTTGTTCATAGTTTGAATTTGAACAGTCAAATCTCTTTTCTTTTCCTGAGACAAAACTTAGCATATACCTTTAACAATATTTGTTCTACCGCCGATAAAACATGATTTATATTGGTTTAATTGTTCCGAAGATTAAGCCACAACAACAAGCAGACGGGCCGGCAGATATATTATATAGCCTATAACGTCTACATATAACCTTCTTTAATAAACATAAGTTCCTTATATTACAAAAAATAATAACATATTAAGTTCTTAAAATAGGTAAATTAAATTCTAATATTAACATGCAAATAATTTTACTTATTTAAAATTGATAAACCTAATAATGTAATTATCAGAAGGCGCAGGCTAATAAAACACAACCCGCATAATTCAATGAAATTGTACGTTGACTTTTAAATCGCTAATACGTGCAAATATTTTGTAATTGGAGCGATTGGGAACGGTGCTAATGGAATTCAGCTCTCACGTGTCCACGGCCTTCTACGATAGCGTAGAGTGCGAATACGATTACTATAACCTATTTTATAATTCTACGATACGTTGTGTTGTTTAAGTTTCTATATTCCATGTAATAATACTGATTAAATTGTCGAAATAATTCGTCAAGCTCTTAAATTTATTATAATTATGTTTGTAGTGACTTGCTGTGCCAGCGGTCGCGGGTTCCAGTCCCGCTGGGGGCATTCATTTGTGAATTGAACACGAATGTTTTTATGAGAGTCATTTCAAATATGTATTATTTTCCAACGAATATCGTACACTACGTAATACGTATATGACAGACGGACGATGTTTTGAAGGTTTTTTGTAGTAATTGTTATTCAACACAAAGTGCATCGAATACTGATCAAGAGTCCTTCGTGTGCTTTTTTACTTTATTACAATAGAAATAAAAGACAGTAACATAAACTTGCACAAATAGATACACATTTTTATGTTTAGAATATGTCCAAACACGTAACTCTGTTTAAAAAAAATATAGTAGTATTACTAGTTATTTTTATATAGTTAAATCTAACATCGATTTACTACATCATTATAATATTACATAATTTAATAACTGCTTGTGCGTAATATAATCAAACAGTATGTTTATTCATAATTCATTAAAACAATTATCATTCCGGCAGACCTTCACGCCGTTGTCAGCGGATGTAACGCTTCAAGCGGATGCGCAACCAGTGGAGTATCTTCACGACAAGCAACTTCACTTTTTGGACTACGCCAACCTACAACCTTATCAGGTACAAATTAAGTATTTAAAATGTACCTATATTAACATCAATTGTTTAATGTAGCCTTCTATCGTTTCTTCTATACCTACTTCCGTTGTCCGTCCGTCCGTCTGTCAGAGGGGTGTATCTCATGAACCGTAATTGGTAGAGTTGAAATTTTTACAGAGTATTTTTTTAACGTAATCATCGAAGTTAATATACATACATAGAGTAAAAGTGACATTAATAAAAAGTACCTACGAGTACATGTACGATGGTACGGTACCCTTCGTTTGCGAATTCGATTCGCACTTGACCGATTTTACTGTGTTTTTATATCTTTACAAGCTATTACAAGCAATTTATAGATGCAAAATGTTCAATAGGATTTCGTTTCGGCAACAAACAACCTTAAACATCGCATCTCTCTTTGAACTTCCATAAACATTTTCATTCAATATTTTATCTTTTTATTTTATTTTTTTTATTTTATGTTATTTGAATAAGGAATTCCTTGGCATAATGTTTACACTCCTAGACGTGAGTGATGTCTGATTATCATTCAATGTACAGTTTTATTAGATGTACGTATATATACCTACCTAAAGTATATACCAAAGATTGTCTGATTTTTATATTATTAAACATTATTATTTTAAAATTAACAGTTAGATCAATAGTCCTTGTGACATTGTTAAAGCCTAAAACATTAAAAACTTTTGAAATTATTCATGTTTGTAGTGTTTTCGTGTATATCATAGTATACCGATAGATGGCGTTAGTATCTCTGCAAAATGGCTAGGAAGTAGACTGAAAATTTCCCCCATTATAATTTATGCAATTTAAATTCTTATTTAAAGTAAGTCACAAACGCTTACGGCATACGACCTCTGAACGTGCTTCAAATGAATCATATTTTAATGCTGAGATACATTTATTATTCTCTGTTCTTTATTGAGTCACTGTTTAGTTTTGTTAGGTCGCGTCGGTTTTATGTGGGAAAATGAATCAAAAATAAATTATTACGGTTCAACGTTGCGGCCATTTATAATACTTTGCATATTTAATCTACCCCTCGTATTGAAGGGAGGCCCGTGCCCAGCAGTGGGACGTTAAAAAGGGCTGAATACATATTTAATCTAGTGGACATTATTTCAGGCAGAGATAAATGTGTTAAGAATATATGTATGGATATTGTAAGTATCGACCTCTTTACATAATCTAATACAAATAGACCTAAGAATATTTAATTTAAATATATGTATATAGCTTTGATCAGAAGATTAAAGCAAATATTATCTACTACATATATATTGAAAGAGGTTCCCTAAAGGTTACCTTTAATGCAAACAAAGAATATTTCCCTTATTTTGTAACGATATAGGTATATTTATCTACTCAATATGTAAATTAAGTCGATTCCAAGTTTTATAGCGCTAAGCACGCATAATATAAGTTATGTGTATATAACTATACATAATGTATAGAAAATAATATACATTATTAATGAGTTCATAACACATACATAATTAAAGCATAGAAGAAGATCGGAGACAAAGAAGTTTGAAACAACGCGTATCCGAGTTCCGACCCAATTTTCCAGTGAGACGATACGAGTGTCGACTGTCGAGTGTTTATCCAAAGTTGCGCCCGGGCGTAGGGAGATCAAGGACGGTGTCTGCCAAACAAGGGGGTCGGTGTTCCCCGGGCGACGGGCCTGGGCGGGTGGCGCGTTGGGACGGGTGTGTTTTGATCCTCACCGCCTGCTATATTGATTTTCCGAGCCGCACCACCCACGCCTCCCCTTTATTATATACATATTCAGGTGGTTATGCCAGTAACGCTATTTTCGGTTAGCTCGGCCGGCAAAGCGTGATTGATTGCCTGTCTCCCACAAAATCTACTTTTGTCGTCTAACTTTTTCCTTTTCAAATCTGTATTTATCTTCCATACAAACGGTTGACTTTGTAACTTTTTGTTCAAAGCTTTGACCTATAAGGTTATACATTGCTCGAAGTGCGGTTAAATTTCATCACTTTGATTGAAATAAACATGAATAATTTAACAGAATAACCTGTTTTACTTCCAACCACAAGAATGGTAATGATTAATTAACTTAACTCAACTATGAATATTCAAACATATCTTATGTGTTATTGTTTTCTTGGAACAATTATAATTCATTATAACGAAGAATTCATACTTCGAATTACAATTACTATGTAGTAGCTTTGATTATTTGTGTAATAAGAGAAACCACAAATAACTGAAAAAATACTAAGAAAGCTTTCCCAACTTCTTTCTGATTAGGTGCTTTAATAATAGGCAATCTAAGTTATAAGCTCTTAATAAAAACTCATCATCAAGCGATAATTAAAGTTTCCAACATGCAATGCACGCAGCAAGGGAAACTGTTACCGCAAAATTTAAACGAGTAAACTTTGCAGTTAGTCCGTCCGGCCACCCTCTGCCCCCTACCGGGTGACATTGACGTAGGCATGTGTAAGATGAAACGAACCAGTCTTGCGTTAAAAATATTTCTTCTTCTCTAAAGAACTCGTTTGTGATTGTTATATAAAATAATTGTATTGTAATTATTATATTACATATGATAAGAAGTATTTTATAATAAATTCTTATAATGTTGAATTAGGTACTTGAAAAGAAAATTTCTTGGAAACGTTTTTTATGTTATTTATTATATATATTACGTATAAAGGATAATTTATTGGGTTTTACGTAAAATGTTATTATTTCTATTTGTGATAATAAAATGTTACCATCAAATATAATTTCTACATCTCAAATATTTATTGCGTAGCTCTAAATAGTTTAAAATATCGATTGATTTGATTTATTTTGTCTCGGAGAAAGAGGAGATGAGAGAGAGAAATGATTGATATCATTAAAAAATATGACCGTTTTGTTTTTTTTTTTGCTTAAGCACTGTTTTTGCAAAATTAAAATGATTATTTAAATACAAGCAATATGTTATTTTCCGATTAAGTTTTATTATACCGGCTGCTATAGCAGGTGGTTTAACTGCAGTATTTTTTTATTCAAAGTCTTAGGTTTATTTTGTTTATCGAATATGTAAACGTAATGCATACTTTTTTTGATTATTATTTGTTATTTTGTAGCAGATAATATGTATATTTATATCACTCATATCTACCAGCGCCATATTTATTAAGAAACCGATTATAATATTTATTACAAAAGGTTATCAAGGTTAATACATTAATAAGACAATATTATGGCCACTTTTGGAATTTCAATAATTTAGATATTTTATCTTGTTTTAATTTGAATAACGAAAAGGCAGACATTTTATAATTATACATAATACATACCTATACAAATTTTAACTCGCATTTTTTATTATATTACTTGAAAATATGTAGTTTATACAAACCTATAACAGACTAGCAACTCACCTTCGCTTCGCTCGGGTTAATCTCTAGGTTGCTTCCCCATCCAAACTTTCATTCCCATTTTTATTCCCTTAAGAGATGATTTCCGAGATAAAAATTATTCTATGTTCCAGAGTCTCAAACTATCTTGTTACCAAATTTCATCTAAATCGGTTTGACAGTAGTTTCGGAGCTTATTCGCTACAAAGAAACAAACAAAAAAAACTTTCCTCTTTATAATAATATAAGAAATGACAGATGTATATCTTATTCTATTCTTTGGATCTTCTTGGTTTTTACTTATTTCCAATTCCCAAAGACAATTCCAGGGCAGCGCAAAATATTCATATTACAATTTTACTATATTCATTCGAATAGAATATGTTGAGGTACCGGAGTTTGTAATGAAACCGTTATTTAATTAGTCATGATATATGATAGGTATAATATTATCTCTACTCGCCATGCTTTATTATAATACCGCACACCTGTGTTATTGTCTGAGAACAACGCAGCGTTAATCACGGTAGTGCATCTTGATATGATAATATGGAGGGTAATGTTTATGGATGATCATAGTTACTTTGCAAGTATGATATCGAGACACTGGGCGGTAATACTCAAAGTAGATGCACATTTTAGTTGTATGTTCTAGGTTTTGTTATATATAACAGTACGATATAACTAATCTTGATCAAAATGTTTACAAAAAATGTTTGAACATCTATAGATGTCTGTATATGTAGGTACTTATCTGTGTTATTTAGACGTGTTATATGCTGTTGCTACAAATTTTATATTTTCAGTAAGAGTAGCATTTTTCATTTTATAGTATACAATATACAATTGGTACGTAGTGAGCACAAAAGCTCAATTTATGTTCCCCCCTCGCTTCGTGTGTTTGCGTTCCGCATCCAGACGTGGTTTATCCGTGATGGATAGGACAGAGTGCATTGTCTCGCCTTAAAGCCTTTTTGTATTACTTGCTATCAAACCACTGTATAAAGTCGTGAAAACTCCGTTTTAGGACTTAATTTTATTACTTCAAAAGCGTTGCGTTAAGTTTCTTGACCGAGAATTTACTTGAGAAATTTAATGTTAAAGTTTTAAGAGGATTTCAACAGAATTTATTCTTTTGATAGTACAAACTTGTAGAAACTGTAAGTTATGTCTTACTCACACATTATACGCTTTAATCTGCCGTTAACTTTTTAAATGTAGGCATGCTGCATAACGTTGAGTAAAGTAATTCTAGTTAGAAGCCCTAAACGCTCTTTTATGTGTATAATATAGTATATTTTACCAGTTTCATGACCAAGAATGGATAGGTATTTTAACGGAACAATGCCACGGGGGCGTTTCAAGGTACTTACCGATATGTATTGTTTTGAGGAACAGTTAGTAGACCCCTGGGGCCGACGTTCCTACTTTTAGTACACGTACATTTCCAGTGAACAGTTTATATTAACTTCTTCTTAGAAGTCGATATCCAAACAAACATTTTTTTATGTTGTTAGAGTCAGGTGTCCAATTCATTTATAATGTACTAGCAGAACTCGCGTCTTCGCTCACGCTAAAACTACGAAAAAAATCTCTAAAAGGGTAGGTTTCATAAAAACTTTCATCCTTTATTTTACCCTCTTATGGGATGAATGTCAAAAAATGATAAAACACGTACTTATTTAATAGTATTGAAGAGCATTAATACCAATTTTAAATAAATGAATAAATAAAATAAATTTTCAAGTAGGTAGTTCTGATCATAAATATCTTTTTAGGTTGTATTATAACACATTTTCCCGTGGGAATGAGATAATCTCCTGCGGTAAAAAGAGCTTATAAAAAGGAGGTTTACTTTTATAAATTGTTGATATAGATATAACAGCCTTAAATTGATCATGTCAATTTACATTGCCTGGATCTACATTATGCGAGGGAATAAAACAAAGAGCTATGCATACTGACAATCTTGTCAATAATCCTATCACGAGCGAGGAACTAGGGAGCAGGGAGTCATGTCTCGCGACAGGAAATTGAATGAGTCGTGGGGATGCGAATGTGTGCCAACCAATGGCTTCCTGGTTATGTACCGATTACTTGTGGCATAAGTACTGATAATAACGCAAATTCGCAATAGCTAATGCTACTCTCTTAGTCAATTCGATAGTAGATGCTACTTATATTATAAATTTCACAAAAAATAGAAAATTATATCTTTTAACAACTCCAGGTAAATTTCTAAGAAATTAATTAAATTTCTAAGGAATCTATTGTTAACTGTAACGCCGGCGTGTCGGCGGTCGTGGAGGGATTATTCTTGATAAAAGGCTAATACTTTGACTCTTAAAGTATGAGACCTCATGAACTCATCATTCCTTAATATTTTAACTTTACATCGCAAACTTTAAGATAATAGGTTGAAACTAATTTAGGGTTTGTAAAATAATTTGAAACTATTAATAAAGTTTACATTTAATTCATATAAATAATGCACAATATTCCCAGGCCGAAACTCTCTAAGTACAAACAAGTCGTGCCCTCTACGACCTCGTATTAATCACGAGGTAATCTCACCAAATAGAGTAACCGAGCAAAATAAACAGTAAAAGCCTCGAGGCAGTGTTGCGTAACGTTGCTGAGTCACTGAGACTGCGTCGGTTCATCAGAGCGTGACTGTTACACAAATACAAGAACTGGCGATTATGATGTCGTAATCTTAGATTACTCGGTGAAAATGGTTTGACCGTGAAAAATTATGCCTAAGGGCATGAGTGTCGTTTCTTTATGGTATTTATACTACCTTTGTTGACAAAATAATTCATATAATAGAACATTAGAAGATCTCAATCACATTGACACATGTTTTTTATCTGTTGCGCAAGTCTAACTGTTGAAAGGGCGCAAACCCTTTGGGCGTTTGCAAAATGAATAAAAAGTGAAAAAAAATTAAACGTGTCCGTCCGTTTTCCACAAAGCGTCTGGCTCTTACGTAAATTATTTCCGTGTCGCCTAACCACATTCAATAGTTAGGCTACACAGAACTCTGTATAGATCTACAGTGCTTGGTTGCTAAACACATAGTTATAGGAGGGAGAGCGAGGCGAGTTCAACGCACCGGATACGTCTGCCGCACACAGGTGTCGGTGTGCTGTAACATTGACATAAATACGCATTCTATGCGTTACGTGTAGTGGTGCATTTTTGCTTTTTATGCTAGTGTTGCTGGTATTGCAGCCTCCATTTGAAAGACATTGGTTAATTCTCTATTTACATTATCGTATCTTTGAACATAGTAAATTACACTGGGTAATATTAATGTCTCTGTTATACGATTACTATTATTTATTAGTTAAAGAGGCACTAATAAAATATGAACGTATGTAGACAATTTGCAAAGCTTAAGTAAAATTAATAGCAAAAATAAGACCTTTTCCTACAAATAGCCAGTAGTTTGTAATAGATTAAAAGTAGAATATAAATGAAACTAATTTAAAATTATAAACTCCGTAAAAGGGATACCTAAATAGTCATTATTAAATAACATAGTATATGATTAGCATATTTTAATGTACAAATAAGCAATTTTGTTCATATTTCCTTTCTGTATAAAGTCAATTACGGCCGCAAAACCACACAAGCATTAGTACCAATAACATACAAGGCAAGTAACGTAGGTGCAAGATAATGTGGGTCATAATGTTTACACGCGCGAGGTCATTTTGCACATAACTAACAATCTACCGAAGTAATTGCACTGTTTATGGGCATCACATTCTTGTAGTGGAATTATGTTAGTTGTGCAAGTCGCGGTAAATCTTCGCATGCATTAATCCGGCTAATACGTTCCTCTACTTAACAATAAATTATAACTATAATAGTTTTGAACCGAATACGTAACTATTAAAATTTATATTCATTAATTCTACATTCACCTTACTTACTACTTTATTACTATCAATTTCAAACACGTTATAAGCAAATGCTAGTAGTATTATAACATTTTTGTTTACCATTCACAGGAATGGGACGCATCTCTAGCGGGAGCGGAAGCTGGTATAGATTCTTCCACGTTATCAACACTTGCAGCTGAAGCTTCTGAGTGGAGAACAACACAAGATGGTCAACGTATCCTCACTACTACCCCGTCGGTGTTGGGTGGATGCCGTGCACAAGTGTACAGGGTAGCTGGCGCCACACAGTGGTATACAGCTGTTATTGTCGGCGTCAACGAACATACTGGGGTGAGTTGGCAAAAGAAAACTGTATCTTCGCATTTTTTTTTCTTAATCCTGTAAATGTTAAAGAAATATTATGATATTACAGTATGTTTTTTAATTATAATCTTCGTTACTGTAACTGTGTAAAATGAAGTAAAAAGCAGTACTCATACATATGTAATTAAGGAAGCACCTGGGGAAGAACTAAACATGAAGGCACGCTTGGGTAACTGTAAAGGCATTCTACAACATAATTCCAAAGCGGGAAGTTCTGGGTGAAACCAGTTTGGTTTATTGAACGCGACGGCATCCAGTAACGATGGTAGATTTATAAGGGCACATATTACTTATACCATCGTGTATGCCATAAGAAAGCTGTTAACAAGCACAACTATAAACAAACGAATAAGAATGCAGCTTTCCACTTGTCAACCTTTTTTTATTAATATCACAAGTTGTCTTAATCGATCCATTTATATACGATTTATTCAGATATATAAAACAAGTTTTTGTACAGAGAATATTGCTATTTATTTAATTAATAATTCATTAATTTAATTAATAAGTTTATGTTTATTGAATTCGTTAAAGCTATATATTACATTATTTATTAGAAATGTTTACTAAAATGTTTGATAGCATTATATTTCTTATCTAGAAATGTAATTCTACTTAAAGATAACAATAACATAACAAGTATCACGATTCCATCAATAATATTATGTTGCTTCCCCTTCAGGTGGTAGTCTCGCCTCGAATACCCTTTCATCATTCACCCCTTCGCTAACTTTGCTAAACAAACTTTGTTGTTTCGCGTTATTGAAACACTTTATTGTTTTTCTTTCATCGGCTCCTTTGAGGACGAGCTGTGTAAAACTTTTTCGTATTTATCGAAACTCACAACAAACAACGGGGGATTATAAATGAGCGTCATATCTCAGAGAATTTATTACTCTACAAAACTACTTAACTTTCGTTTACATGAAACTCACAATTGTGCTAACTTTAAACATTTACAATCATAAACGGATGCACCTATTTATTATTTAACTCAAATATTATTAACTTATATAAAAGCATTGACAATGCATAATCTATTGATTTACCAGGCCAAAGCAAGCTTAGAATATAATTTAATGTAAATGTTATGGAAGTCAGTCAACTCGTGCAAGAGAAATTCGAAACTATTCGTATATTAAATGATCCCAATTTCCCGTCAAACTCTTTGGAGGGTTGTCAGAATTACCAAGTACTCCAATCTATCTTGAACTTTGCTATGTAATTACAGTTAAAAAGTTTAGACGTTAAACAAATTTATACTGCGAATCAGCGTTGTAGCAGAGTCGGTTCGTCCGCTAAAGTTTTGAGTAACCTCCATGCTCACCCCCTTTCACGGTTACCAAAGTAACTTTATATAAGTTGGCTCTTTGTTTCTTACAAGTTTTCGCTAAACTTAAAGTCTTTGCCCCGAAGACATGTTTATCGACAACCTTGCGCCACTGGTTAATATTATTGTTTTGTTACCTTCAACGTGAGCTGTACTGACCGGTTAACCTTTGAGTGAATTTATGTTTATTTTAAGACTGTCTTTTAAATAAAAGGTTTAATTGAATTGAAAAACTTGTAATAAGTAGATAACAAGGATTTTATATTAATTTACTTTACTTTATAAGCCTTTGAATATTGGAATTGAAATATTCAAATTAGTTATGAAGTAGGTGTCTATTTCGCACACTATATTTGCATAGAAAAAATTGGTTATAAGCATAAATGAGTATAAGTTGAGTTAAGTTAGAAAAAAAACTATATGCCCTTGTAAATAAAATATACACGAAGAATAAGATAAATAGCTTGTTCCGATTTTGGCAACATGCACGATAAGTTACCTTGTACCAGATTTATTATAGACAAACCAATACCGTTTTGCTACAAATTCTATTAATCAAATACAGTATATAACTAACTCGGCGTTTGTTATTATTCGAATTTTAGATGATGAAATAACACTAAACAGGCACGTTCCTGTAACGTATTTATATTATACTCTGTGGCGTGGGCGTGAGAAAGTTTTAATAGGTTTAGATGTTATTTATGTACAAATTCGAAACACCTGCCAAACTTACCTATTCTATATAGTTAATATGAAATTGCCTATTCTTAGTTGTTAGTACTGAACTATTTTCTCAAAATATGAATATCATAAAAATACGGGGTAACTATTACGCATCATAGATTGGTCGTCTATATTTATTTTATTTATTCTTTAACAGGAATTAACGGTAACTGATGATACAGTTTTAGAAGAACACAGTGAAGATCCGGCTTTAGTGCAGATGAGACTACTTGGCGATGGAGGTAATTTCAGTTTTTAAAATAAGTTATACATAATTATATCTTTTTTTTTTAACGTTGGGAAATGCATTTACGCACGAGGTGTGGGACTCACCGGCGTAATACAGCCAGTACTACCCACTAAAACCCAACAAAGCCTTCCCCCGTCTTAATGGGGCGTCGCAGGATCGCTTACGCATTCAACTACGACGCCCCGACGGCAGGTCTGCCAAAGCAGACCACAACAACCACGGGGTTGCTCCACAGTCCACTCTGCTATCAGAGAAGTACCAGGAGCAACCCGCATGGTACACCGCCCTCCGAAGAGGGCCACCTCCCTGTGCGTTTCTTGGCTTCGCGCCCGGTTGGGTTGCCGGGCACTACTGAGCCCCCCCACCACGACAAGGTGAACGCACGTTGGGGGGGATACATAATTATATCGGCAAGCGCAAAAGTATTTTGTCACTATGTTAAAAATTAAAATAATGCATTTAAAATGTCAAGCATTTTTGAATTAAATAGTTGTATATATTTAAAGATTGAAAAGAATAATAATATATTCTAAAGTCTAAACTATAAATAAATTTAAAATTTGTATACCTAATAGATTTTTTGTATAATATAATGATATTTCAATTTTATATTTCCGATTTTTTTATTTATTAAAGAGCCGAGAATAATTTGTTTGACGAAGCTATTGTTAAATAATATCTTTGAACAATATTCATAGGAACTACTTACGTAATCTTTACATTTGGGTGTATTAGAGCTGATAGATTTCACTATAGCGCTTATAGTTATCAAAACTAAACGCTTTAGACGTCAATATGACATATAATATAATAATATGTAGTATTTCAAAAACATTATTAAATAATATTTACATTGTAATTGCATACAATGGGATGCCCACTGTATTCTACGACGCAAATCGCTATCTCGCTAACCGTCACGTGTATACTTACACAATAAAGTAGTAATGCACGCGTGTAGTTACGTAATTATCACTACAGTTACACGTTACCACATAAACGGCGTGGACTAAAAGCCTTGTCTTGAATATTCATGAATCCTTCATAGCGTTCTGCTCGAGTTCATTGGATTAATGCGACTTTAAATATACATATTTTAATGCCGATCCCATATCCGTTCTGTTGATAAGTATTTTTTAACCTAATTGGGTACACCGACTTCAAAATCATTTTTAACGTAATTAATATATGAGCCTAACCTTGAATTAAGTATCCTCCTTTATTGAAGTCTGTTACCAACAAAAAATATTATTAATGGTTATTCCATAATAGTATCGCAGAATATATGATATAAAGGAAGTAGGTACAGAATATCTTATTGTATAGTTTATATGTAACACTAGCATTACCCGCGGCTCCGCTCGCGTTCAGATGACCAAAAACCTAATTTTTAGGTTTTACATAATATTAGTATACACTTAAATTGCAGTTTTTGTATTTTTTCTCAAAAATGAGACATTTTTTGAAAGAAATATCACAGCTTCAGAAATGACACAACATTTCAGACAGACAAAAGTTCTAAAAACTAGATTCGGCCTTTCTATCGATAATAATTTTACAATTTTATTATATGTACTTTTATTTAAATGCATTGTGTATTGACACACTGGCCTTTGAACTAATCATGTATATTTGAGTACATGTAAATATAGTTACGTCCATCTTGTTACTGTAACGGGAGACGGGTGTAGGGTGGCTTAACTCCTGTGTGTGCATAATTGGATGCAAGAAGCCATACGTAGAAGTGTAACGTAGTTTGCGACGTTAGCAAATCCTTTGTTATATTTTGCGACATTACGAAATAATATTAAAACTTTATTATTTACACTACATACTACACATAAAACATGTGCTAAACATTAAATTAAGCAATTTAACACCTCCAGGTAAATTTCTAAGAAATTAATTAAATTTCTAAGTAATCTATTATTAACTGTAATGCCGTGTCCGCGGTCGTTGAGGGATTAAAGCCGCATTTTGATTCTAAAACTTCTAATTAACCCAAACGTTATCAAATTTTAGAAATATATGTACTAGTGATTCATATATAAAATATGACTCGCATTGCCCGCGGCTCCGTCCGCGTTCAGATGACCAAAAACCAAATTCTTAAGTTTTAAATATTAGTATATGTACTCTTACATTGCAGTTTCTGTATTTTTTCTCAGAAATGAGAAATTTTCCCGCAGTAAAAAGTATCCTATATGTTGACCCGGATAACCAGCTATCATCATACCAAATTTCATCAAAATCCCTCCAGTGGTTTTTCCGTGATGCGGTAACAGACAGACAGACAAAAATTCTTAAAAACTATAGATTCGGACTCTGTATCGATATTTACGTCTATTTCAATGTAAACCGAAAAAGAAAACTATATTTTGAGATACCTTAAACATATTTTATAGGAAAATTAATCACAATATTTTTTTACAGTAATAGAATCCATAATGAGAGGTGAAGTTGTGGGTGTAATGCCAAGAAGATCTCGGTCCAACCTACAAGTGAGTAATATAAATTTTAATAAAGCATTATTTATGATTTTCACATATATATACATATGTAGGTTGTTACAGATAATAAGTATGCAAATCATTCACATTAATAGCTCAACTGGTTCTATATACATACATATGTATATGTAACTCGAAAACGAGTTCTTGTTTTGTGTCAGCGACTCCTTATATCGAAAATAAATATTCATTTAATCGTTAAAGTATGTTAAGATCTTTTTTATTCTTTCGTTGTGTTCGTTAAGGAACTAGTTTGTTTATCCTTTACAATCTGGTCTGGTAAAAAACTGTGAAAAGTAAACAACCTTGATGTGGGTGTTGACTTGTAGTAAAAAATAGGAATTCTACAGATTAAAAAACGCTTACAAAATTACATTGCAATTTAGAAGTCGAATAAATAACACCCGGATAGGATACAATCATAAAGGCATTTACGCAAAGAAAGTATCCAGAGAGAGATGAATATAGAAAATTTCTGCCAACTGTACACGTGTTTAGATACACGTGTGCGCGCTCTCGGATTCATTATAACTAAGCATTAGAACCAACTACATGTCTTTATAAACATATGTGTATAAATATATGTAGTGACATATATCTGGACCCTTTGTAATCACATATTATTACCTGCGATAATTTTGAAGTAAGCATCGTAAGCTCATTTCAGTACCCTGTTTACTACATTTGACTTGTAAAAAAAGTATTAGGATCTTTTTACAAAATAGAGAAGTTTATGATGTTGTTTTGATCTGCAAGTCAATTAAGGAAAGGAAGTTGCGTTTTGTTGCTATTTGAAATGAATTTAATATAAATGTAGAGTTGAAGATTTATGCACGTGGTCTGTGTTGTTTTATATTAGTTAAAATGGCGCTTTATGACGTGTCGGCCAATTTTAACAGAGCGCCATCGTGGCCGGTTCTGCTAAATATGGCAGAGATGACTCATGGTTAACTGTAGTTAACCAGATCTACTGAGATAGTTCTATGGCTTAATAACAAAAGAGCTTTACAAATGTATTAATGTCCTAAACCTACATGTATAGATAAATCTCTTAATATGATGATATTATTTTATTCTATTCTCGCTTATGTAGCAGTTGGAATAAGTGTCACATGTGGAACACTCTCTAAACGATTGAGTTCCGTACCACTGAACTCATTTGAATATTTGACTAGAAACAAGCGGAAACTTAGTTTAGTCGCTCGGCATTGTTCTAAACTAATGTTAATCGTAGGGTGTTTGAGTTGGACGCAAGCGAATTCTCTACCGAATACTTGGCTTGAAAACTTCAGCGAAAATCTAATTTAGATCGACTAGTGGGGAGAACGCGAGTACCAGATAATTAACTTTCAGTATTAGCTCATAAACATGTCTAGGCTTGTTATTTTTGGATTGACGCCACTCAAGTTTTGTGAACGTATAGAAAAATATACGTCCAATGGACTTAGTATTTGACTAAAATTGCCCGCTATCCGACAGCCACATCTATCGATTTCGTCAGTGTATATTTATATTTACTTATACTGATATTTTTCGTGCTAAAACCGCCCGTATTGGGTATTTATACTCGTATAAGAACACTACAGGTTTTGAACACTAGAAAAAAGTGTAAAGAATTAGTTAATAAATAAGATCATCTTAAAAAATTACAATATATGTATTTGTTTGAATGAATATTACGTCTGAATTTTAATTAAAATATTTCAACTGTATGCTTAGCTATTTTCAAACAATTTTACGAGTTCTATTGACCCACCTTGTCTTTGATTCAGTTTTTATCGCTCCCACCAAGGCTTCTTTAGATGAAACGAATCCCCATTCGTCATAATGACCTTCTTGAATGTCGGCGTCTCTCTGGCCCGGTGAAAATATTCATTATGAAACAAAATGAGATGTTGTTAAATTTTCTTCCTCTAATGGTTTTATAAAGGTTATTTATTATCATGATTCAAAGTTGAATAATGATAATTATCGAATATATATTTAATTTAAGAACAATTTAGGTCAATAGTCGTATAACTAGTTTATTACTTGAAGTACTTACGTATTATCTTTGTGAAATTGAAATGAATATCTTTAAAATTAATTTAGTTGTCCTTAAGATATTTTTAAAATTCGAATTATTCTTATATTCATTTTAGAAAGCGAAAAGTTATTGTATTGACCTTCATGATAAACATTTTTATATAACTGACTTAATTCAAAACCTTTAATTTGTTAATATTTTTGTAAAAATAACATGGCATGTTAATTGCTATGAAATACACTAACCTTAATAATAACAGTTAATTTTTGTTGGAAGACATCGTTATATTTTAAAAGATAATATCATGAGTGGGTACGTTAGTCACGTTTTGCCGTGTAATAGTCGATAGTACTCATTTCGCATGCATTTGTTGCTCTCGGCTATAATTTAGATTCGTTCGTGTGTGTACATGTTATTAAGCTATTCTTGTATGCAACACTATCTTTCTTTATATATATAATTCTTCTGTGAGTGTGTATGTCACTAAACTTCTCTCAAACGACTGGACCGATTTTGATGAAATTTTTTGTGTGTGTTCAAGGGGATCTGAGAATGGTTTAGATTCACAATTTGAATAATAATTTTCATCAAAATGGTCCAGAATGTTTTAGTTTATTAAAAAAAGTTTGAAATTTTCAAATTAAAGACGTGTAGACAGGACAACGTCTGTCGGGTCAGCTAGTAGTTTTATATTTATGGAAGAAGTAGTGAATTATGTACAAATAAAAGAAATATTTAGTTAAAAAGTTATCTAGAAAGTCTAAACATAACTCAACAATCTTCTATTTTAATAATATTAAGAACTTAAGCATGCATAAATCCCCCACAATACCGTATCAAGCCGTATATTGCATCACGACTTGACTAGAGGGGTCTCGTTCTCAGCAATTTGTCTTGTTCAGCGACCCTTTTTGTACAAGAGTACTCATAAACAATTCATCTTGCGAATTCTACGCGTGGCATGAGGATAACAGAAGCATTATAAATGTTCGAGGCTATCGATTCCCAAAGTACATTCAAACTAATCATCCACACTTTTCCCTACAGCTGAGCTCAAATGGCGCCCTCTCTTTCGTTAGTGAGTTGAATGCTAACCCTTAATCTCGTTGCAATTTGCCCGAACGTCAAAGTAAATAGAGCTTTAGTAATCGCACTTTAGAATAGTTTTTAAATTGCATTAAGAGATCCGAGGCAGCAGGTGTACCGTGATAGTGAAACTGAAGCAAGTTATATATTAAATTGAAAAGTAAGACTCTTGTTTTAACTTCCTGCTTAAGTCGGTAGCAAAAACTTATTTATTATTTTTACGTAATTATACAAAGAAGTGTGCAAATTTATTCTTTACAAGTCCGTAGTAATTTATAGTTTCTGCAAACAATTTTTCAATACTCTTATTTAAAAGTAAAAGTAAATGTTAATATAACAACTATTTATTAACGTTATAACCTAAATAAATAAGATAAGAAGTAAATTTAACGCATATATTGCGTTGATGAAATGAGCCAAAATAAATACTATCTCAACCGTACCGTATTCCCTAAACACTGAGATGTAAAGGAAGTCATCTCGACTGCAAATGTAGTAACGTTTTCACTGAAACCATCCCGAGTTGAATGCTTGCCAAAACAACTTTTCATGATATGAATATGCGATGCGTATAAAGATAGCTTTGTAAATAAAGTTATTTTTTAATCAAAGCATTGTTTATTTCATTAAAGCGGTTTTTCCGTACGAAAAATTTAAGGTATTTAATATGACTATCGTTAAAGCTTTTAAACATTAACTAAATCTACACTACTATTATAAAGAGAAAAGATTTGTATTTTTGTATGCTTCTTACGAATAAACTTAAAAACTACTAGACTGATTCAGATGAAATTTTTTATTCCGAAAATCATCTCATAACGGGGTGAAAATGGCGATGAAAGTTTGTATGGGAAATCAACTCACGGACGGACCCGAGCGAAGGGAGGGTAAGTTGCTAGGAATTTCATATATTTCTTCAATATCCACAGTAAAAGTTGTAATTAATGTAATGAGTTCATAGTAGCATAATTAAGATGAAGATTATTTAATTTACCTATACATATATAAACATATCTCATTTGAAAGTAAAACGTTTAGATTGTGTAGCTAGATCTGTGTTTACCAGAATCCAATGCAGTAAGTTACTTATAGCTCATGTACCGTGAGAGTTACCGACTCACTGTTGAAATCGATTCAAACTTTTCCTATTACTGCGGAATTGGCTTCGGGTACACTTGTTTGTGATCTTTTTATTCTCGTTAATTTTATCTTTATTCTAATAATTATATTAATTCAATAGTAATACAGATTCTGAATTTTCATTTAGTTAACTAACTCTACCATCGAATATTTTTTGTGTTTCTTTAATAGAAATTCTTCATACGATATATTTAATATTTCTTTCTGGGACAAAAATATTATTTAAAATCAATAAATAATAATAAACATAATTATATAATATAATTTATAACATCAGGTATATTAAAATGTTAACTGTATAAATGTTTTATAACTGTATCATATATGTACGCATGCATATAATAAATTCGTAACAAAACGTTTTATTTAATCCCATGTCATCGCTGTCATAGCGTGCGCCCAGTTGATTCATTTACTATAAAGAGGGGAGAGTTTGTCGGGAACGTGTAATCGCTAAAGTTTGCAACAACATCGGCCGACTTTCCGCTTCTATCAGAGTTGGTTAATGCGAGTTTCCGTGCAGTGGATACGATATCGATCGCGACAAGTGCGGGATGCCGGGATTCGTCTGGCGCGCAATAGCCCCCACCCACCCCCACGGAACGTCAAAAGGGTCTGTTTTAACGTGCCACTACTTTGTTCTTGTTTTGTTTGAAGGTTAATATTAGTTTTGACCTGCACGACAACTAGTTTCGTGCTCCTGACAGCCATTAGTATCGCAGTTTGGCGCCGTGTTCCA